TTTTTTTTTTTTGACCCGTTTTACATGAATACCGCACTAAATTAATCTTATAACTTATGGTGGGGCGTTTTTTCATGCCGCTGTTATGTTTGTTCGAAATATGTAAGCTTAATGGGTAGCTGTAAATTGCGGAGAAGTAGTGATGAATGTGAGATATGTACGGCTTTGAGCGGGTCTGTTTGGGCAGGCGTAACAGTGCATTGTTTGTAAGTAGAATCATTGTATTTGTGTTGTTACTCTGAGGATTAATTGTTGCTGTATTATTTCGTTGCTTCAGTGAAAATCGTAGTCGTAGAGGTGGCTACGATGGAGGCGTTGGTCGGAATGGTTTTGGAGGTGAAAGAAGATTTGGCTTTACACGGGGGAAAAGTGGTCCAGGTAAAAGGGCAAAGTCTCAGCAATGTTTCTTGCAGTTGTTTTTCGCTCGTAAATTTTTATCCTCTTTATTTGGTTAAAAACGTGACCTTTGAAAATGAGCAAACATTGCTGTAACTTTTTTTTCCTTTTTTTTTGAATTTTGCGCTGCCGCTTCTCTGTGGCTGGTTGAAAGAATCAGAGAACATTGTTGTTGTAGGTCGCGAAAATATCGCCGGTAGAGGTTTACAAGGCATTGATTGGAACCTGCAAAAGTTAAAACCAATTGAAAAGAACTTTTATCAGGAGTCACCGATTGTATCACAGCGCCCTCAGGTGTGCTTGGTTTTCAAATAAATTGTTGTTTTTGTGCAAAGCGCTTCTTATAAATTTTTATTGCAGTACACCATAGACAGCTGGTTGTTGGAAAATCAGGTAACAGTAGAGGGGCGGAATGTTCCGAGGCCCGTATTTGATTTCACTGAGACTGGTTTTCCTGAAGTTATAGTTAATATGCTATATCAGAACTTTGAAAAACCTACAACAATTCAATCGATTTCATGGCCTATTGCATTGAGCGGTCGGGATATAGTTTCTATTGCGAAGACTGGGTCTGGCAAGACTCTTGCAGTAAGTGTTCGTTCTAAAATTTCATTTTGAGGCGGCTAGGAAACGGACGGAATTGATTTTCTTTTCCATGCGTGCCGAAAGTTCGCCAATATTATAACCAAGCTGAGTGCACGGTCGCTCATCAGATATATTTTTAGTGAGC